TTAACAGAGCCTGAAATCACAAAGTTTGAGAACCACTAATAAGCATCTAATGTCCCTTCCACGCAACGTGGAACACTTGTAATGTCTGTCTTTACTGAAAAATGAGGAAAGCAGGGTAGTAGTATGTGCTGATTTGCCCCATTAGTTTCTCACATAATTGTTAAGTCACATGTTAATGCTATCCAGATGTGCACTGAAGTGCCTGGACTTGAGATAGTCACCCGAGAGCAAGAAGCACAGATGGTAAAAGAAGGTCTAGGATGGGGAGGACACAGGAAGGGTGACCTCACAGCCATCACCCACCCAAGGCGTTGTCGGTGGTGTTGCACTCCAATTCTTGGCAGCACTGGCTTGCAAAGTGGAAGCGTTCTTCATCGGAAACGTGGATAGAGAAGGCCACATTGTTTGTCTCTTCGCTGCAGTTCTCCGCAGAGCAGAAACTATTCTGGTACAAGCTGATGGCTCCCCCTATCCAAAGGCAAACACAGACTGTCAGCCCCTGGCAAAGAGGGCCTGCCAGGAGGGTAGGGATGCTGAATATACCACTTCAGGCAAGGGTAGAAAATGCAACCTCGGCTCAGTGCAGTTTCAGAGACACTGGAGAGGTTTTCTTGAAAAAAGAGAAATTCTTTCTCATCAGGTAGCTTCTTCCTTCAGTAGGAGAGTGCAAGAGACACAGAGGCAAAAGGCTGATGGGGAGTCTGAAATGGGTTGTTCAATCTAACACCCCTTGAGCCCACTAATTAGTTTAGCACCTCTAAAAATAATTAAACAAGCATGATGGTCCTTATGTGCAATATCATGTCCACAGCACAACTTGCCTGAAAATTGAACCTGAATCCAGTCAAGCTTCTAGACCAGAGCTATCCAATATGGTAGCTACTAGCTATGTGTGCCTATTTAAATTTAAACTTAGGTTAATTAAAATTAAATAAAATTTGAAATTAAGTTTCTCAGTCACACTAGCCGTACCTCAAGTGCTCAATAGCCACATGTGACTACTGTATAGAACAGTGTTGATATAGACATTTCCATCATTGAAGAACGTACTACTGGACAGCATTGGTCCAGTTTACAGGAAATACCAAGAACAAGAAAATGACTTAAATAACACCACAGGGAAGCAATTATTCAAAGCCAGAATATGGGACAGCTACAGGAAAAATGGCCCCATTTCTCCAACAAATCAAAGAGATTGAACAAAAAAAGCAATGGAAGCTATTATAAAACAAATTAGACTTTTAACAGACCTAATGGCAGAATTTATTGTGGGGATTTTGTTTGAATCCTGCTTCCAATACATCAACTATATCATGACATCCTTGAAACAACTGAGAAATTTTTAAGATGGTCTGGGTATTATCATAAATCAAAAAATTACTGTTAATTTTCTTAGGTATGATAATGGTATAGTAGTCATATTATTTTTTGTTTAAAAAAAAAGACCTTATCAAAGATGAATAGTGAAGTATTTATGGGGGAAATGACGTGATATATTTACACAAGGGTACTTCAAAAAGTTAGTGGAAAAATAGAATTAAAAGATAATATGAATCTTTCCATGAACTTTTTGAAGAACCTTCATATTTGTATGTATATTTACTTTAAAATACTATGGAGGAAAAAAAATGAAGCCTGCCTCGTCAGTTAACTAAAAGCTGCCCTAGCTTCTTGCATCCACTAATACGTATCCAGAATGAGGCTTGAATCAGGGGCACCCCAGGGGCTTTGCTTGCCTGGTTCTGTTCCCGCCTGACTCCTGCTCATTGCCACCATTCATTGCTTCTCCTGGGAATCACATTCATGACCCCCACCCCCTTCTTGTAAAGCCTGGCCCAGTCTCAGCCTTCCTTTCCTCCCTGGCCACCCTCTCCAGCTCCCGCCTGGTACAGGTCCCAGAGGCAGGAGCCACATACACCCCAGACTCACCTAGAGAGGAGTTGGTCGAGGAACTCATACAGCTGATGTTGGCATCTGAGGGACATTCAGAGGCAATGCTGTCGACACAGGAGTTTGCCCATGAATTACACTGCACACAGTTCAGGGATTCTGGGAAGACAAGATATAGCCAACATTGGTCAATATTCAGTAGGCATTTATAGAATGTACTCTAAGCAAAGTATTGTGCCCACTTAGGGATAAAAGACATAGTCAAGATGGCATCCCTGCCCTCTGGGAATTCCCAGAATTGATGCCGTGAGATGAAGCCATCCCCATTTGTTTCTCCTCACTGTTCACCTTTCCCCAATGGGGAGACCCAACCTTGACCAGCTATGCAGAGTGGGCCCCACTGAAGGTGGAGGCTGCACAGATCAGTCTCATGCTTTCCACCGATCACACTTTGACATGAGGGGCCATAGGACTTCAAGAGCGGGCAGACTCTGGTGAAATGGAATAAGGGGTCCTCATCCCAAACTGGGGCTACATAGCTGCTCTCACCTACAGCTGCAACAGCAAGTGCTGTAATGACACCAGCAACGAGGATGCCCTTCATGGCGCAGGACCTGACTTCTCCGGAGGACGAGGGGCCACAGAACCTTGAGCCTGAAGAGACACAAAGAAGGCAGCCCCAGGGTTTGGAGAGCTGCCTGTCATCCCCAAGGGGTTTTAACCATACTGCAACATGCTCAGCACTCAGTCTGTCCTTGTGACAGAAAGAATCAGGATCCTGAGCTGGGAGCACACAGCTGTAATGCAAATTCCACTCTGCCCTTACAGAGGTCAAGTCTTCCCAATCTCGAATGCCTGTAGAAGCATCTACACACAGATATGAAACACAGCCCAGGGCCATTTCCAGTACAGCCACTTCAGGCATGAAATCGGCAAGCAGACTGATTTCCATTTCCATTGGGGATGGGTCCAAGAAGCAAGATCCAGGATGCAGTCATGACCCCCTCTCCTCTTCCAGTGCTCAATGTCCGTCCTGTAGTTGGTGTCTGGCTGCATTCATATTTTGCCCTTAGGGGTTCTGTTGCTGCAACCACCATCACAAGAGGCAGACACCTATTGAGCTCTGACTCTATCCCAAGCATTTTACATGTATTAATTTGAGTTATTCATCCATCCTCGCAAGTAGGTCCTATTATTAGCATCATAGTTAAGTAATGCACTCAAAGTCAAGTCTCAGCTCCCTGGAGATATGAGAACTGAGGTTTGGCTCAGGCCCCTAACCACCACTCCACACTGCCTTCCAACAGGTAATGACTCCCAGAATCCCAGGCCTGGGTGTGCTCAACCTGCAGAGCTGAGTCAGAGGCCCCATGCACTTCTGACTAGTGCGTCACCAGTCTCTTTGCACCTCATGTTCCATAGGATCCTAAATCAGAGCTCCCAGTATTTCAGTTTGCCTGCGTATCACAGCAGCATAGAGAGCCAGTGTCTGGCTCTGCACTGAGCCCTTCTTAATCATCATCTCATTTACCCTACAACAGGTGGCTATTGAAGGTTGATTTCATTGAAGTTACATAAAATGAAACACTCTCTCAGTCCACTACCACGTTCCATGTGCTCAGGAGCTGCTTGCTGCTTGTGGCTGCTGTATTGGACAGTGCAGGTACAAAATATTTCCGTTGTTGCAGAAAGCCCCAATGGACAGTGCTGCTATAATAAAGGTTGTCATCCCCACTCTGCAGGTGAGATGGATAATAAAAGCTGCCCAAGCTTGCCCAGCTTGTAAGGCCAAAACCAAAACTCCATTCAGGGTTCTTCCAGTTAAAAGCCTGGTTGCACCATGTTAGCTGCTATTCACTAAGGCACAACTGACCTTCACCTGGAAGCCACAGCCCCTCCTTCCACCTCGCCGCACACATGCACACCACAACACATGCCACTTACACCATATGCCACACACACAGCACATGTACTATATACACACACACTACACACACACACACACTACACACACCACGTGCCACTTACACCACATGCCACACAGATCAAATACACAGACACACCACACACATGCACACCATACACAAACAACATGCACCACATGTCGTACACACAGACATACTGTACACACATATACCAAACACACACACACACACACACACACACATCACACCACACACACTGTACTATGATCCCCTGGTTGACTTATTAGGGATTGGTGAAAAGAA